CAGCGGAGAGTCCGGCGGGCCTGCGGATCAGTGGATCGAGGTCCGTCGCACCGCGGCGTAGAGGTGGCGGGGGCGTGTCTCTGCCCGAGTCACCAGCTTTCACCAGCCTCTCGCTGTCCACCTCTCGGCGCCCTGGAGTCTCGAAGTGGGTTTGAAGCCCAGGGGTCTGCAGGCGGCTCGACCTGTGTTTCATCCACCGGTCCCCCCGATCGCAAGCCCGTCTTCTGTAAGCTGCACGGTGGGAATCCTTCTCCGCCCTCCTGCATCAGCACAGCCTTCGCTGTGGCCAGGGAGGGGAGCGTAGCTGAGCTCTCTGCTTATCTTAATTGGAGCCTAATTATCTTCTGATTCTTATGGGATCTGTCTCCTGGTCCTCCAATCGCCTCCTGGAGACGAGCATGGTCTGAGAGACAGGGCTGACGCAGGGCGGGGGAGTGAGAGAGGCCGACGGGGCAAAAGGAGAGAGCAGAAGGGAAAGAGGGCGAGAGAGAGAGGCAAGGAGAGTATTGGAATGAGACGGAGGAAGAGAGCATGTTAATCCCCGCTGGTGTGAAGCCACTATCTCATCTCCTGATAGAGGGAGACAATTAAACCCGGCACAGGCTGCCAGTCCTCCAGAGACCACAGACGCTCGTGCAGGCAGGAGCTGGAGGGTCTAAAAATAACCACAGCATCCACACTGGCCAGCGAGAGCGATTCACACGGACGGACAGATTCATCCGCAGTACAGAGCGGAGTTTGACACATCAACAGACTCGCACGGCCTCAGGAAGACAGAAACTGAGAGTCCACGCAAGCGCAGGACCAGCCTGGGGTTACTGATGAGCTCGGTGTGTGGGTTCTGCAGATCTGACAAATGGTTTGTTAATCGAAAGTCTGAGGAGGAGCTGCTCGGCCTTCTTCAGGTTTAGTGATAAGCGCTTTAAATTCTCCCTTTCGGCATTGCATCATGCTGGATCGGAGCAGCCGTGTCCTCGGGCTCCATCGTGCCGTATCGACCGTGGGCTCGTCTTGCTCCGCGCGTGCCTGTGTGTGTGTCGCCGGCCACGGGCCTCTCTGTTGTACACAGGAAGGTCGTGACCTGCCGAAAACAATGCCGATGAGTACACCCCATCAATTATTGAGGGTGCTCACAGGGGCTCGCCAAGCCCCGCGGAACGGAGCAGCTCCGAGAGACACTCTGCCCTGCTCTCTGCCTGTCGCTTTCAATACCTCTACTTGTCCGTCTCCCTCCTCTCCCCCCCAGCTCTGTCTGGACCTTACACCTGGCTCCAGTGCAGTACCGTCCAGAACAACTCCAGCCCAGGGCAGTGCCGCAGTGAGAACAGCCCCAGTGCTGGGCAGTGCCGCAGTGAG